GAGTCAGCATCGTCAGCCCCTCGCGGTCTGGGTGTGGGTCATCGTTATGCGGAACTGGCTGTGCACCCCGGGCGAGGTGAGAGCCAACCCCCTCTCGACGCGCCTCCCTGCCAGGAGCGCAAACCCCCCTCCCCGGTTGCGCTTCCTCTCCAGGTGCGCCATGCCCCCAGGTGAGGTGCATCTCTCACCTCCCCGCTCCTTCCACCTCCCCGGTGTGCCGCCTCCCCGGGTGCACCACCCCCCTGCACCAACGCCCCCACCCCACCAGGTAAAGAGTGTCTCCTCTCCCCCCCGACCTTCCTCCTCCCCAGGTGCACTTCTTCTCATCTCCAGGTGCTGCTCATACCCGTTGTAGTTGCCTGTGTGCCGGGCCAGGTGTGACAGCCAGGGGTCAGTACCAGGTTCCTTGTAGGCTGTGCAGGGATGTGAATGCAAACATACCCTTTTTGGGAACCTGCTCTGCAGAGGCGCGCGCTGGTTCCCTGCGTGGGCGCGATCCGCGGGGCTTCTCCAGGGGGAGAGGTGCATCTTTTGCTCCCCGACGAGGACGGGGTTCCTGCCTTGTCCTGCCGGGGATCGTCGCCTGCCCTGTTGGAAATTCAGGCCGGTGGGTGAGTGGGTTTGCTGGCTGCTTCTCCATCCTGTATTAGGGGAGGATTGTCTGCTGGGGGGGCATCCGGCCCTGGCGGGGGAGCATCCCGGGTATCAGGGCTGCCCTGTGCTGGTCTTTAATTCTGTGCACTGTGCGCATTGTCCCTGTGTGTCCTTTGACCCCGAAGGACCGCGTCGCCTCTTGAATGTGCTGTGTCACGTCAGGATCTGGGGATTGCCAGGGCAATTACTCAGCAGCTCTCCACTAATTTCTCATGAACATCTGGGCGGTTCTTGGTAGTTGGGCAAGACAAGGGTTCTGGGTCAGATGGCACAGCTTTCGTAATTTGGCTCTAGATTTTGAGTGTTCAAGTCTTCTTAAAAGTCCGTTCTTTCTTTGAGAGAATATCCCAGAGCACCTGGGTTTGACTCAGAGAGCAGTGAGGTGGAGGAGGCAAGGCTCTTCCCCTGAGACGAGCAGCCAGTGTGCCCCTGCGCGCTGGCTGCGCTGTCATGGGCGGGCCGGCCCCTCTGTGTCCCCTCTGTGCCTGAGGCTGGAGGAGGGGGGCATCTCTGCTGAGTCATGGGGTGGGGGTGGGGGACCGTGAAAAGATAAATCTTTTCCAGGTGAGGAAAGGTTCCTGCTTCAGTTTCTTTTTCCCCATCTGTCAGTTTATTTGTGCTTTTGTTATTCAGAAAGTGTTTCTAGGACTGTCGGTTTAAAGCATACCATGCCTGACCTGGTGCTGAAGGTTAAGTCCGCATCGTCAGGCCTGGCTCACCTGCATGTGCAGGACAGAGGCTTGAGACCCTAGGCCAGCACAGGAAGGGTGGGTTTGGGCCTCCATCCTTGTGGCCACAGCGCAGAGCGTGGAGAGGTGGGGGCAGGGCAGATGGTGGGGGGCAGTGCTTGCTTTCAGCAGGTGAGTCTGCACGGGGTCCAGGTGCCCTCAAAGTCTGGGCCGACGTGCAAAACGAGGGTTTGTGAGGCTGAGCAGAAGCTCTCACAGGACAAGGGGCGCTGATGGAAGGCCTGCCGGGCTGCAGCCTATAGCAGTGTTGTGTGACAGGAAGAGCCGCAGTGGGGGCTGGGTCTGGCCCGAGTGTCCACCAGCACGCCCAGGGGCACGGTCTTTCTGGGAGGAAGGACTCTTGACGTGCCGGGATTGGCATCATAGGCCACTTGAGGGACAGTGCTGGTGGGGCATGAGGGGCAGTCTGCTGAGATAGCTGGAGCTTGGGGCCCTCACTGGTGCAAGTTCAGGGAGGATAGAGGGCCTGAGGTCTCTTGATGGGCTCCTACTGAGTGTGTGGGCCCTGGTGCACCAGCAAGGGAGGCTCTTACGTCCCCAGAGTTTGAGAAGCTGCTGATGCCGCAGTGGGGCCTCTTCCTGGTGGGAGGCAGCAAAGTGCACTGGGGGACGTTGGCATCTGAGGGTTAGGGCTGCCGAAGCTGGGTGTGTCTGGGCATGGAGTAGGCACTGGAGGGGCTACCAGGCTCCTCAGGGTAGGAGGGCAAGGTTGAGGGGGATGCTGCCTTTTCAAGGGGTACAGAGGCATGGGTACAAGGCTGACAAAGCTGGAGGGCAAGGCTTGGCAGTAGTTTGGGGTGAGTTGGAGACAGGATGTCAAGAAGGGGTGGGGGTTGGTCAGCGAGGGGTGGGCTTGGATGAGAGGCGTCAGGGTCTGCAATGTCTGCCCCAGGAGCAGGTGCACCCTTTGGGCAGTTCACAGTTCTGTCCGGGGGGGGGGGTCCCAGGAGTTCTGGGCCTTTGGTCTACTCAGGAGATGCCTGTTCAAGCACCAGAGCCCCGAGAGGGTAGTTGGGCAGGTGTCTGTTCATGGCTCCCACTATTGCCGGTTGAATTATGTGTCCTCAAAAGGTAGGTCTCAGTTCTGATTTTTTTTTTTTTTTAAGATTTTATTTATTTATTTGACAGAGAGAGAGCAAGAGCAGGAACACAAGCAGGGGGAATGGGAGAGGGAGAAACAGGCTTCTTGCCGAGCAGGGAGCCTGATGTGGGACTCGATCCCAGGACCCTGGGATCATGACCTGAGCCGAAGGCAGACGCTTAACGACTGAGCTACCCAGGCGCTCTCAGTTCTGATTTCTTGTCTGAGAACGTGATTTTATCTGGAAACAGTCTTTGCAGACGCAAACAAGGTAAAATGAGGTCATTTGGATGGGTCCTAACCCAGTGTGATGTGTGTTTTTATAAGAAGAAGGTAGTTTGGCCCACATGCGGAGGGATGACCGTGTGACAGCCGAGGCAAAGGCTGAAGTGATGTGTCTACCAGCCCAAGATGGCCAGGGGTTGCCAGCAACACCAGCAGGCCAGAGCCTCCCCTGGAGCCACTGGGGGGAGCCGGCCCTACGGGCCTTGGTCTGGACTGACTTCTAGGTCCCAACAGCGAGAATGGATTTGTGGGGCGCTGTTGGAAGCCGCCTCCTGTTGTGCTTGGTTTTGGCGGCCCCAGGATGCAAATGCCTCTGTGCTGCTGGGTGTTAGGAAGGAGCTCGCTGGCAAGCAGGTGGAGGGTCCAGAGAAGCCTGGTTTGAGGGAGCCCACAGGAGGCAGGGGCTGCATAGGCCCCAGGCGGGCGGTGTCTCCCTGAGGGATTCATCTGTCCGTTGTCCCGCGACTCTCGGTTGCAGGGGCTGCTGGGGGTTGTGGTGCCGCGGCAGGCTCCCTGGCTGTCTTGGTTTGGGGCCTTTTCCCTGTGCCCCACAGAGGACCGAGGCCCCGCGTCCATGCTCAGCTCTCCTTGCCTTCTCTGCTCTTCACGGGGTGGGGCGGGGGGGGCTGCTGGCCCGGCTGCCACCTGGCAGGCTCACCTCCTTCCTGGATGGGACCTGCGGGACCCCCTAAAACCTTTGTTGGAAGGGTGTTTCCTTTAGAGCGGGCAGGCCCGAGGCCAGGGCGAAGGGTGGGGCAGCAGGCTGACCTTGGTAGAATTCTCCTGGGGGCTGGGATCCAAAGCGGGGTGGGGGTGGGGGGCTGTGCCTGCATAGTGCCCCCGCTCTGTGCTCCTGGCCGCGTCTGCGAGCGGGCGCAGTGGCACTGACGGAGTGCACAGGTCTCGCCAGGGGGTGCAGCCCCCTGGGCTCCCAGCCCCAGCCAGCACGTCTCCTCTTCACCTGCCACGGACGCCAGAGCCAGTGGCCCGAGGACGGCGGATGTGTGCCTGCGCTCTGGGGACTTAGGCAGCATTGGGCCGCCTCCAGGACGCTGCGGTCCCCACTGGGGCCGGACCTCAAGTCTGCTCTGCACGTGTCCCGCAGCCGGTAGTTTGGAAGTCTGTCTCCCCCCGACTCTCCACCCCGTGTTTTCCCAGTAATTACGGTAAATGCTTTTCATTTGAGGAGGTAGTAGCTTCTCTGCAGCCTCCGGCAGTTTCGGCCTTCACTTCTGGATTCGAATGCAGTCGTTTGCAGTGGTCGCGGTCCTCCTGCTGCTTCCCAGCACATCCCTGGCACAGCAGCGTGTCCGACACGGCCAGGAGTCTGGGCCCAGCCGAGGGCGGGACGTGGTCAGAAATGACCAGTGGTTCTGACTTGCTGTCATTTGTCAGACACAGTTCAGGGAACTTTGACGCTAGTCCGCTGGGGGTAGGGCAGAGGCAGAAGGCTCCGGAAGCCGGGCTCACGGATCCAGAACAAGCAGGCCCAACTAGGGCCTCCACGGTGCATCCCCTGGGCTTTGGAACGGCGGTCTGTCCTGGGGGCCTGGGGACGGGGGATGCTCTGTGGCCTCCAGAGATGGTACCTGATGCATCTGATCGGGCAGCAGCGGGGGGGAGCAAGGCTCAGCCACACGGGAAAGGCCCACCTGCTCCTGGGAGGGTGCATGGTGGGGGCAGGGCGGTGTGCAGCTGATCTCCTTGTGCTGCGCCATCAGCGCCACAGGGTCTTCTGCAGACCCTGGGCCAGGAGACCGCAGCAGCTCAGGCCCCAGCCGGTGTCCTGGGAGTCACACGGAGGGCCGGGTCCTCTGGCCGCTGCTTCCAGAGTCGACCGCTGTGCAGCTGCTGAATTGAGAAGATTTGGGGGCTGGTGGGCCTGAGCTGGGTCCCCAGGGTCTGCTGTCGGGGTGGGGGTGAAGGGAGGGAGGCCCTACTTGCAGGAGAGGGAAAGTTTTGGGAGGTGGGGGGCCCCACGTTGTTCGATGCCTCTGATCCTTTAGCAGATGGGCCTAGAGCGTACCAGGGCCCCAGAGACCGTGCTAGCGCCATGGTCTGGGGGAGGAGAAGGCGGGTCTCCCCGGTGGGGGCCAGGCTGCAGTGTAGCCCCGTGCTGAGATGACGTCTGGTTCACCAGGTTCTGCTCTGGAGCTTCATCTCTGTGACGTCGGCCTCACAGCTCTAAACAGAGAGCTGGAAGAGCATGACAGTGGCGACCTGGGCCCGACAGGTAGGAGGGCGCACCGTGGGCTCTTCCCAGGGCCAGCCTTTCTCCTCAGAGCCCTGCGACGGTTCTCGGTTGGGCAGGTTCTCAGCCCCTGGCCCCTCGGGGTACCTCCGTCTCAGCAACATGGTCTCCGCAGAGAGACCCGGGCGCGGCCGCCGTGTCCCTGCGTGGTGGTCATGCTGCCCCCGCCCCGCCCGCTAACTTGGCCTCCCCCGCTCTCTGCAGGTCCAAGGTCACTGGGCGGCTCAGCACCCGTCAGCATCCCGGGCTGCCTGCCCCGCTCCCCATCCCTGCACTCGTCCTCATCGCTGTCCACCTCCCCGCTCAGCTCGCTCTCCCAGTCCCTGTCGGGGCCACTCGTCTCCTCAGCCATGACGCCCCCCCAGCAGCCGCCGGCCCTCAGATCGGAGCCTGGAGCGCTGGGCTCCTCAGCCGCGTCCTACAGCTCCTTAGGTGAGCGGGTGCTGGTGGGGACATGCCCACCCTGCATGATGTCTGTGGGGGGAGGGGGGTGGGGGGGTGTGCTGCCCTCCCACGTTCCACTGCCCTATCTCAGGGGCGGCCACCGCCTGAGGGGTCCCCTGTCCAGTCCGCTGAGGGTGCCTCAGGGCGCGAACACGGGATGGCCCCAGCTGTCACCCGTGCGTGGTGGTGGGCCTCAGGCCCTGGGACCTGTGATGTCACTAGAGACCTGGCGCCAAGCACACCGACCGGCGCAACAGGAACAGCACAAGTCCTTGTATTTTTTGTTGGGAGACGTTACCTCGTGTAACTCGTCGTATTTTAAAAGAGTATTTTAAGTATCATGTTACTCTCTCGTGCACACCCCTACCGTAGGCGACCCCCGCAGCTGCAGGGCCTGCAGACCGAGGCAAGGCGGGGCTCGGGGGCCAGGGATGGCGCAGGGACAGACCTGACTTCATGTCCTCTTCTGCTTCCAGACGCCTGAGCAGCTGGAAAGGGTGCCAGGGGCAGGGGTCACTGTCAGCGGGGCCCAGAGGTGGGGTATCAGCGCCACGGCCTGTGACCTCTCCTGTCCCCTCTGCGCTCAGGCTTGAACGGCGTCCCCGGGAGCATCTGGGACTTTGTTTCTGGCAGCTTTTCTCCCAGCCCATCCCCCATCCTGAACACCGGCCCTGCCCCGTCCTCAAGTGCGAGTCCGAACAGCGCGGAGCTGGCCCGCGTCAGGCGGCAGCTGGATGAGGCCAAGAGGAAGATCAGGCAGTGGGAGGAGTCCTGGCAGCAGGTGCAGCAGGTGAGCACGGGTGGGGGTGGGGCAGGCGCGCCCGCGAGGGGGGCACCCCGTGCCGCTGCTGCAGCCCGCCACTGCCCCGGGTTTCAGGCCTGTGACGCGTGGCGGCGGGAGGCGAAGGAGGCGAAGGAGCGGGCCCTGGCTGCAGACAGTGCGCGGGACCTGGCGCTGCAGAAGAAGGAGGAGGTGGAGGCCCAGTTCCGGCGGCTCCGGGAAGAGCTGGAGGGCCGGGGGCTGCAGCGCTGTGCTGACCTGGGCGCCGTCCCTCTCCCCAAGCTGCACTCCCTGCAAAGTCAGCTGCGCCTGGACTTGGAAGCCGTGGATGGGGTGAGTCCTGGTTCCGGCTCTGGACGGCCCCCTGGTCTTCCTCACCAGACCCCATCCGTCCCCACTGCCAGCTCTGCCCTCCGAAGACAGGGTGTGCGCCCCTCCCGCCCCGCGGGGTCGGAGCCGGAGCGGCACCTCACAAAGGTCGCCCCCCGGGGTCCCTGGGTAGATGTCTGCCTGCCTCCACCCTTCACCTTTGCTGCCCTCGGCTGTAAATCCCTTCCACACCAGGGCCTGTTGTGAGACCTTGGAGCATCTGGAAGGTTCCACGGCCCTCACACGCTCTTCTCCTCCAGTGGCCGCTGAGGCATAGTCCCCCAGGCCTTGGCTGCTCTTGTGGCTGGAGGCCCGAGTCCCAAGTCAGGGTCCCCACCAGCCCAGACCCTCAAGCCTGCTGGCCACAGCGTGTCAGTTGGGAGCCTCTATGAGGGCCTAGCCCTTTGAGGTGGCACCTGCTTGGCCGCCCCTTCCCACGCCGGTGTGGCAGCTCGGCTCCTGGCGTCTCGTGAGGGCTCTCCCGCCCCCCACCTTCATTCTGGGGGCGTCCCTCGGCCCTGACTTTGCAGCCGGGGCCACATTCCCCGATGACCCATGACGGCCCATCCGTGGCTTTCCCGGGGCCTCGGTTCCGCTGGAGGCCGCCCGACCCCACCACCACCCGTGTCTCGCCCTGCAGGTGATCTTCCAGCTGCGAGCGAAGCAGTGCGCCGTGTGCCGGGAGCGGGCCCGCGGCGCCGTCCTCCAGCCTTGCCAACACCGTGTGCTCTGTGAGCCGTGCGCCGCGGGCGCGCCCCCTTGCCCCTACTGCGAGGGCCAGCCCCTCCCATGGTGACTGCTCCGGCGCCCCCACCCCGGGCTCCGGCCTGCTTCTCTCGAACCTCACGGGCGCACCCCCAGAGCCCACCCGGCCGGCCCCACGGGCTCGGGAATGACGCACTGTGACCCCGCCAAGCACTTTGTAAACCGGGGGCGTTAGACATTCTGAGTTGGTATAAGCTGCTTTTTAGGTTCGTGTTTTTTTAATATGCGATAATGCGAAGCTTTGTATGTGAACTGTGAACTTACACCATCTCCTATCAGTTTATTGTTAATTCATGGTATGGTAAAGGTCTTAGATTTCTTATCCTGAAATTAGTACTTATGAAATGAGCGTTTATCTAGTAGTGAGAAATGCCTAGGATTTTTTATAGTTTTCAAATTAAGTGCAAATAGTATTTATAGCAGTGATACCGAAAGACACATTTAGAGGTTTTTAATTTTGTGAAAGGGACTCCTAATTGCGTACACACGCACATTAATTGGAGTTTTATATTCCAGGACCATGCAGTGGCGCTGAGCCCGATCGTGCTCCGTGACCTGCGGCCGCTTTTCTAAGTGCCTGAGCCTCGCACGAGGGGCGGAGGGCGCCCTTCCCTTGGGTTTGTGTGTTCCTCTGAGGGGAAGTGCGGCCCAGGGCCCCGATGGCGGAGGCTCTCACATTAACTTCACAAAGCCGTGCCTGAGCCTCTGTAGCTTCGCAAGCCTGCTGGAAGGGTGTCCTGGCTCCCCCTTGGGCGGCCTGAGGCCAGAGGCTTGCCCACGGCCGCTCCCTGCAGCCGGATGGACGCCAGCTTGCAGGGGTGAGGCTTCCAGGCTGCAGGGTAGCCTGGCGATTACCGGAGCCACCCCGGTGACCCCGGGCTTGCAGAGAGCGCCTGGCCGTGGCAGAAACGCTCCTGAGAACAGGTGTGGTTTTGGTGAGGACTTGAATCTTCTCTGGTCTGCATTGGGTCATTTTTCCTAGAAATCTGGGGAGAAGCAAAGGATGTCTGTAGTTGACCCAGACTTTGTTCTCCGTGCGGCAGCCGTAGCTGGCCCTCTGGCCTGGAAGTCTCGGCCCACCCGTGGCTTTGCCAAAGACGTTTAATAGCATTTTGTAAAGTGCAAAGTGGCTCGGTAAAAATTTTTATCAGTAACCAAATATTTACTATAGGTAAAGGTTGAAAACCTTTTTTAACAGAAGACACACCAATAGCTCTGTTTAAAGGTGGATCCATGACGTTCTGCAGCTAGTCCACTACTAAAGGTGACTATTGAGTTGGTTTTAGTGAATCTACTTTGTTTTTAATGATAGTGATGATTAGCTCTTAGAAATGACATATTTTGTGCTACTGTTACCACCGTTTAAAATTATTTTTATTAATATTTATGCACTTGTTTCCCATTTCAGGCCTATGGTCTTCTTTGGGAAACGACAATGTTTATTACCAATAAGTAGCCTAGACGTTTTCAAATTATAAACAATTAAGGACAGTTAAGCTTGAGGTCTATGTATAAGCTACTCTGGTCGGTTCTTGTTGTGCAGTGAGAGACTGGAGCTGTGGCGCCGTGGGGACGACCTCCCCTCCCCCCCCACCGGTACGTGCGCTGAGGCCAGGTGTGCTGCGAGGACCCCCAAGAATCTCGCAAGTGGAACTCTTAGGGCCCCCAGGGGACTGCTCGTTGGGTCCTCCACACCTGTGTCTTGGTGGCCTAGGCCCTCCGAGGGAGCCTTCCCTGCCCCACAGGCATTCCGGGGCCTCGCCGTCCTCAGTTCGGCTGTCGTTCTGCCTCTTGGCTCTCGTGGTCTCGGTCCAGCCTCCGCTGTTTGTGTAACTGGGGTCGCAGGAGACCTCGGCTCAGTGTGGATGCTTCATGTGGATTAATTTATGGAAGCCTCGATCTAGGTTTGTTCTGAGTATTTAGATGAGAATGTTACTGGAATGGAACTTTCTTAACCCAGAAGGTAGTATTTATAATGCGTAATCATTTACTTGTAGTGAATTGTTTCAAGTTAACACTTGTTTAAATTTTTTTACACTACAGCATTTATGCAATGGTTTACAGAATTCATGGAATTATTTTTATCAGTACAGGAATTAAAACTTTGCATCTTTATTTTGTCACCTCTTTGAGCTGAGCCTGAGAGCCCACGGGGCCCTGAGGCAGAGGAAGTGGCCCCCACCTGCCTCCCCTTCCTGCCAGTCTCGGGTCACAGGGCGTTCCCACGCAGTCCTGGGTCGCCTCGGAGTGGCTCCGCTGTCCCGTCTGGGGGTGTCTTGGGGCCCACGTGCTCGGAGCTGGAAGTCTCTGGCAGAACAGTGAGCCGCCGGGGTCAGCACAGGGCCTGGCCTGCAGGCAGCAGGTCCCCAGGTGGGCTGGGGCCCTGCACGGGGCACGACTCACCCGCAGGCCTGGTGTAGGGGATGCCGTGCTGGGTCAGCATGCTCTTCAGTCTCCTGAGCTCCTTCGCCAGCTCTTTATGTGCCTGCAACACAAGAGTTCCGAGGGCAGGGCGTGCGGCTCCGCTTGGGCCAGGTACCCTTCCCTGTCCCTACCTCACGGCAGCTCTCTATGGTCTGGAAGGCCGGGTCCTTGGCACCTCCTTCCAGCACCGATTCACCTTGTTCTGGGGTCTTTAGGTAGCCGGCATCCTCAAAAAGCGCCCTGAGCCACTTGTCATAGCCCTGGCAATGGAGGAAGAGGGAAGAGCCAGCTCGTGGCTGCGCCACGCCCGGGCAAGGGGGTGCCCGCCCTGTACCTCACCGCCTACCTCACCTGGGCGGTGATGAGCTCATCAGCCAGGTCCTGCTCCAGCTGGTCCCACCGCTGCTGCAGGGCAGGGGGCAGGGCCGGGTACACTACAATCCAACAGACGCCCACTTAGCCGAGCTCCCCTGCCCCCCACCTGCACCCCGGGCTGGCCCCAGGGTCCTACCCAACAAGGAGTGTGGGTGGCAGACAAGAGGCGTCTCGAACGTCAGCGCATAGACACAGGTGCTCGGCTCAGACACGTGCGCCAGACGGCTGCTTTTCCCACAGGTAAGCTCCACCTGTGGGGAAAGCCTTGGTGGGCAGGTTGGGGGAAGCTGGGTCCCCGCATCCTCGGGCCCTTCCCCCACGGTCCCACCTTGCTCTGCCGGCTCCGGGAGCGGCAGGAGTCGCCGTCCCTCATCCACATGCCCCTGAAGGTGTTGTTGGAGATTTCCCACTCGTTCCAGATGCTGAGGGAGAACAGCACGTGAGGCGGGATGGGGGGGCACCAGCCCAGGGGCCCGGGACCACCTGCCTGCACACCCCTGGCTCACCCCAGGATCCCACTATAGGCGTTCCAGCGGAAGGTCTGCTCATGCTGCGTCACGTTGCGAAATGGGCAGAACTCGTACTTGTACCTGGGGGCACAGATGCGTCGGGGGGGTCCTGGCCCCCACCCCCCGCCAACACCTTCCCTCACTCACGTGGACTCCACCAGGCTGAAGCACTTGCCAGAAAGCCTGAAGAGGTGCGCAGGCCCTGGAAAAGAGCACAAGAGGCCAAGTCGAGCGTGGAGTGCAGGTGCGCGGACAGCCCACAGGACTAGACCTTCCAGGGAAAGGCAGGTCGGTTTAAACTTGAGATAGGAGCACAGGAGCCTGCCTGATGTAAGGAAAACAGAAGAACCAGAAACCGGCTGAACCAACCTTACAGGAGTTCTGGAGCACAGAGGGTGACCACAACCAAATAAGTACCAAGCCACCTTCAAGCTGGTGGGACCAGTCCTGGGGTGTCTGTACTTGCCACCACCCCCAATGTGGTCATGAGCAGCAGGCCAGCTTGTCTGCAACTTCCCAACAGGCTGGAGCTGACCAAGGACTGGTCTCCGCTTTGCCTAACTTGGATCTCAAGCAGGAAAGGTGGGCATGGCTCACGAAAGCTGCAGGGGGCACAGAGCCGTGCAGGAGTTTGGGGCAGGAGCTTATGGGGGGACACCGACGACAGAGCAGTGGGGGGAGATGGGAAAGGCAGGCCTTCGAGAGCAGCCACATACACAGCTGATGAGGAGCCCCAGCACAGAGCCCTGTTTTCCACAAATTCTCACAAGGCAGCAGGAAAACATGGCTTTAACCAAGGGAAAGGTGACAAAACCATCCCAGGAGCAGCCCAGAGGCCGGACTTAGGAAAGATTTCCAAACAGTCTTAAATATGTTCCAAGAACTAAAGGAATACAGACAAAAACATATTACAGGAAGAAACCAGAAGAGAAATGCTGGAGCTGAAAAATACAAGCCAAGTAAAGAAGTTGCAGGAAGGGTCAACAGCATCTGAGCAGATGGAAGAACCAGTAAATGGCCACGGAGCTGTGGGCACCACATGGGAGCCCCGGCAGAAACTTCCCACTGGACAGAAGACGTGAATTTACAAATCCAGGACGCTCACTGAACTGCAAGCAGGCGAGGCTCCGACCCTCACCGAGACACACGAGAAGATTGTGAGAAATCCGAAGACCGTCACACGTAGGCAACGTCCCTGAGCTCATCGGCGGGGCCCCGCGCACATGGCGTGCGGGCCAGAGGGCAGCTCAATTGTTCTGCATCCAAAACAACCCTCCCCACGGAGGCGGAGCTGAGGGGTTCCTGATGGCTGTGGGGTGCCCGTCCAGACGGAGCAAGTTTGTATGCTTCTCCAGTAAACGTGAATCCACGGCCAACCTGCACGGCCGGGAGGGTCAATCTATGGACTCCAGAAGACAGATGCACGACACAGCATCACAAGCCTTTGCTGATGGCACCCAGTCCAAGGGGGTTGCCAGTGGGATCGGTGACCGGGCTGGGGGAGGGGCAGAGCTGACGGGAGCGTTTGTATGGGATATGACAGTTTAAAAAATTCATAATAGAATTTAGTCATTTCCAATGTTACTAACCCCTGTGGTTTCCACAGAGAAAATAGACGTGGGATATACACAAGCGGAAATGAGACTGAAATCAAGCGTGTCGCCTGGAAGAAAACGTCAACGGGGTAACGCAGGAGAGGAGGGACAGAGAAGTCACAAAGCTGAGCCACTTTGGTTCCACAGGGTCTGTCCTTTCAAGTACATTCTGAGGGTATGCACCAGCCTGGACCTCACCGCAAACAGACCAGACCCTAAGCTGGAAGTCGTTAGGAGACCAAGGATGCTCCATCCGAGTTCTTACTAACCTGAGATGGGTTATACCCACGTGCTTTCCTTCCCGATCACAGCAGGAACATGTGTAGAGGATGCACAACTGTGGGAGTTAGCATCTTAACCACTGCGTCAAACAGGAAATCACAAGGGAAATGAGAAAACACTCTGGGACGGACCAGTGACCACAGGGTTCCAGAGCTCACAGGCACGGTGCCAGCAATGCTGAGGGGCTCGGACATGGGCGACAAACCAGACCCTGAGTCTTTACACCTTCCAGAACTAGACAAAGAGCACACTGAACCCAGGGCTAGCTCAAGGGAAAAATCATAAAAGGTTGGAGCAGAGGCAAAAAAAAAATCAGTAAACCCAACACCGGTCCTTTACGAAGATCAACAAAATCGATGAGTCTTTAGCTAGATGGACAGAGAACCCCACACACTGAAATTCCTAAAATGAGGTATGAAAGGGGGGACGCTGCCAACTCTGCAGGAACAAGACAGGAGAACAGGATGAGAAACATACTCCAACAAATTGACAACCTTCGTGAAATGGACGCATTCCTAGAAACCCAACTGATCAGCCGACCTCACATGTTCCCAGAGCCTCCGTGGCCAGCACCACCCTGGGACCAGAGTCACGAAGATCCATCATGAACACGAACGCAGAAAATCCTCAACGAAAACACCAGCAGATGCACTTCAACAGCACATTAAAGGGATCCTACACCATCACCAAGTGGGGTTCATTCCCGGAATACGAGGACGGTTCAACATCCAACAATACAATCCGTTAACAGAAGGAAGAGGGGAACCCCACGGCCACCTGGCTGTTGCAGAAAGCAGCACCTGACAGAATTCAACCCCCCTTCATGACAAACACTCCACAAACGAAGAAAAGCAGGAAAGCAGCAGCACAATGGAGGCCACCGAGGCCGACCCCACAGCGCGCCCTGTGGGCAGTGCAGGGCGGCGCGAGACCCGACGTACTCCTCAGATCCAGGAGATGAGGACGCGCTCCGCACTGTGCTCCCTGTTCCAGCACCGCACTGCAAGTTCTAGCTGGAGCAATTAGGCACGAGAGAGAGAAAGGCATCCAAATTGGAAAGGAAGAAACACAACTCTGTTGCCAGGATCGCGTGTGGAGAAAGCAGAGTCCACAAAAGTCTGTTCCCAATGTTGCAAGACACGACACTGACAAACACCAGGTGTGTTTCCCTACACTAACAATCCAGAAAGGAAATTCAACAATTCCATACACAAGAGTATTGAAAAGAAAAACAGTGGGAATAAGCCAAAAAGGCAAAATACTTGTACAAACTACAGAATGCAGCTGACTAAAAGATATAAATAAATGAATAGAAGCCCTGTGTTCACAGATAGGAAAACTTAATCTTAAAATGTGAATACTACCCTAAATGACCTAATTCAGTCTGTATCAAAATCCCAGTAACATTTGTTTGCAGAAATAGGAAAACCCATCCTAAAATTAAAATGGAATCTCAACCCCAAACAGCCAAAACTATCTTTAAAAGAACAAAGTTGAGGGGCGCCTGGATGGCTCAGTCGTTAAGCGTCTGCCTTCGGCTCAGGTCATGGTCCCAGGGTGCTGGGATCGAGCCCCGCATCCAGCTCCCTGCTCAGCGGGAAGCCTGCTTCTCCCTCTCCCCCTGCTTGTGTTCCCTCTCTCGGTGTCTTTCTCAAATAAATAAAATCTTAAGGAAAAAAAAAAAAAGGAACAGTTGAAAAACTCAATCCCTGATTTCAAAACATGCTTCAAAGCCACAGACTGAAACAGTGTGGTGCTGGTGTGCACACAGGTGGGGTGACGGAGCCCAGAGCCCACAGACGGTCCTGAACATCCGTTCTTATGATCTGATATCAAGACCATTCAGTGGGGGAAAGGGCCATTTTCTCAATAAATGGTGCCGGGAAACAATAACCAGACGTAGAGGAAGGAACCGGAACCTTACTTTACACCATATACAAAAATAACTCAAAATGAATTTGAGGCTAAGCCTAAAAAGCTTAGTAGAAAAACAGGAGAAAATCCTTACGACATGGGCTTTGGCAATGACTTCTTGGCTATGACCGCAAAGGCAAAGCAAGTGAACCAAACTGTATAGAGTGAGGAACATGACCTTGCAGGAAAAATCCCTCTTACGGATTTAAGAGCACGAACTTTCATGAGTTAGTGGTAACAGCCCTTGAGAGTTCTGACATCCTCATCTGTGTAGGGAAAAGCAAAGGACAATGTGAACCGTATCAGAGGCCACCGTGGCTGACAACAGGCCGACCCTCCCGCAGGGCGCTTCGGAGCCACCCCAGTGTCATGGACCAGAACGACAGGCATGATGAGGGATGACCCAGCAGCTGCGAAGTCGGGGCAACACAAGAAGGCAGTGGGCCCCGAGGATGAGCCCCCAGGGGTTTCCTTCTCAGGGCCACCCCCAGGAAGGACAGCAGCCCCAAAGTTCAGAACAGACGAAGAGTAACTGCTGAAAAGCATTTACAGTCAATGTTTTCGGATCAGCCCTTCAATTCTTTAAACCCGAAGAAAAAACATGTACTTGACACAATTCAGCAGGTGCCACGCTGCCAGGCCCCCGGACACGGGTGCAACCCTACAGTGCCCTCCTCATGGGGGTGGATACACTTCCTTGGTTCACTGTTTTTTGCTGCCCTTACTGAGCACAAAACTGACAAGGGAAATCATGGAAATGTTTGCAATTAGACAACTATAGAAAAGAAAACCCTCATTTTCAAACTCCAAAACTGCAGGTGGTGTCTGAGAACCAGTCGAGCACACACGTGGCTTTTGGAAAAAAAAAAACAGCACTGGTTTACAAGTCAAGTTGGGGGGCTCCTGGCCACCTCAGTGCGAGGAGCTTGCAACTCTTGATCTCGGGGTCCTGAGTTCGAGCCCCATGCTGGGTGTGTAGCAGTTATTTAAAAAAGTAAATAAAATTACGGGGCGCCTGGGTGGCTCAGTCGTTAAGCGTCTGCCTTCGGCTCAGGTCATGATCCCAGGGTCCTGGGATCGAGCCCCGCATCGGGCTCCCTGCTCCGCGGGAAGCCTGCTTCTCCCTCTCCCACTCCCTCTGCTTGTGTTCCCTCTCTCGCTGTGTCTCTCTGTCAAATAAATAAATAAATAAAATCTTAAAAAAAAAAAAAAAGTAAATAAAATTAATATTTTTACTTTCGGAAACTACAAGTTAGATGAGCCGTTTGGCTGTATCTGGGAGAAGGCAGCTGGCTTACTGTTGTGTGTGTGGTCTTGCTTAGAAGACATTTAATGTCTCCAATATTTTCTCATGGTTTCCTGCTAGAAAAGACCGAGACAGCCCCCTCCACCCCCTTGGGGCTCTCCCTGC